GCCATTAAGTGGGTACTGAGTCACAAAACAAATAATCAAAACATTCAGAGGTGAGGGCGCCAAAAGTGTCTTTGCCTTAGTTCTGCTGCAAATATTTTCTTGTACCTTTCTCTATTAACTAGTTTTCGTGTGTAACAACATGTCATTTCCTTCTCTTGTCGGCTTTGGGAAAGTCAAACGTTCACAATTGTGCATATATTTTTGACCAACAACATTGCATCTTTGAATTAATGTTTTGTTATTTCGCTGGATAATCCAAAAACAAACACATGTATATTTTTCTCTTCCCCTTTGTTGTCCTATGTATAATTGTCTTGATATGCTGTTGTTTCTTCGAATTTTGAGACAGGTTAGCAGGAACGGAACTTTGGTATTTTCACTAGTAACAGTAGTACTTTTCTAGCTCGACCCAATGCTAGTCTCTTCAATTTCGTTTGATATGTTACTCAGCAAAAACTTTCATATAATGAGTACCAGAAATATAGTGCTTTTCATTAGCCATTGTTTTCATACCTTCACTGTATAACCACTTTTGAGTTACCACTGTTTTCATTTTCATATTTTTCCTATATTGTACTTCTAAAATTTTAGTTTCCATTCTTCTTCAAAATGACACTTGTAGTTTCTCATGTTCCCACCACGCTCTTATGTCGCTGTAGCCAAGTTTTGAGACTTGTTTGGTTTGTTTTGAACTTCGCGCAAAGCTACTCGAGGGCTATCTGCACTAGCCGTTGCTAATTTAACAATGATAAACTAGAGGGAACATCACCCATCGACAAATCTTGAGATACTCTTTCACCAACGAATAGTGGGATTGACAGCTATATTAGAACGCCCCCTCAGAGTTCAGATTCGAACCCGCGACCCATAGATTGTTAATTCTGTTTGGAAATTTCTAGATTCAAATTTTCATAATACATAAATGCACATATTTTTTGTGTGTTTCTAGAAATAAGAATTATAATTTTTTGTTCTATATGGTGGGAAGCAAACGCTCCGACCTCGTGTGCTGGAGTATGAATCTGAGGGTCTATGGTTCGTGTACCGTTGCCGAGAAATGGCAACCTGCGCTTTGGTGTTGTGACATGATTATAAAAATGATGTTCAAGTTCTTCTATTCAGTTAGAGATGCCGAAGTGTTGGCAGTTGATACTGTTAACTAGCTTCCTTCTCGTTAGTTAGTTAACTTGTAGTTATGTTGGCATTTGATACTGCTAATTAGCTTCCTTCCCGTTAGTTAGTTAACTTGTAGTTATGTTGGCAGTTGATACTGCTAACTAGCTTCCTTCTCGTTAGTTAGTTAACTTGTAGTTATGTTGGCAGTTAATACTGTTAACTAGCTTCCTTCTCGTTAGTTAGTTAACTTGTAGTTATGTTGGCAGTCGATATTGTTAACTAGCTTCCTTCTCGTTAGTTAGTTAGTTTGTAGTTAAGCACAAAGCTACACAATGGATTATTTGTGCTCTGCCCACCACGGGAATTGAAACCCGGTTTCTAGCGTTGTAAGTCCACAGATATACTGCTGTGCCACTGGGGGCCATTCTCGTTAGTGTATCAGCTCAAATTTGGGGACAACTAGCGCTTATGTAGTTTTCTGAGATTATCTGAAATAAACAGTCATTGGTTATGCACAGCACACGTGCTTAACTATAGGAAAGATACATAGGAGGTAATATTATAAATGTATTATAAACTTGTCTGCGTGATACATAACCAATACAAACAGTATATAATAGACAAAGTATATTTTTATTGATTTAACTTTTTAATTACTTTAATTGATATTTTGGTATTCTGAAATTCCAATTTTAAATCAACCTTTCCCAAAATTCTTAATATAAGTCTGTAATGTAATAGTGTAAAGGAAAAAAACGAGATGAGTATTGCTTATTTTACCAAAATTACCTTTGCATGATGTAAAGCTAGTCCACAATAAGTAGCAAATGTAGCAAAAGCTTCTTCGTCAGTTTTTGTGAAAGGTCCACTTTCTTTGTTCACCATCTGAACGACACCGATAACTCTACAAGCAGAAAAAAAGAAATAATTCTAACCCCAGGTAAAAGATGTTCCACCACATTTTACGTCGTTCGATGTCATCTGCTCCCATGTTACATGTTAAACAGCATAGGATGTCCAAGACAATTAAAATGTAGTCTAATTTACTCGATGCTGTAAGACCCTTTGTAGACTGGTCGTAATCTTAAGAAAACATGTCTTTGAAAAACAGGTTTTTGATTAGTTTATCATTATCATCTACTTCGTGTTTAGTATACTATTGGAATAAATTATATTTCTCATCTTCCATCACAAATGTTACACACAAGCATCCGTTTTATTTCTATCAAGAGTGGTAATACACACTACACTAACTTCATTCGTTTCTAATTACGAAGTCATTGCGTTCTTATGATTTACTTTACTTATGATGAAGATGGATATATATTATATTAACTTTTTACTGAGATGAATAAGTGTTATAAACTTAGTTATTTCTGATAAAAATAGACATATACAATACACTTGCTTCATGTTAATAAAGGTGCCAACCTTACTTTCTTCATTACAGAAAATATTAGGCAATCATGATAACTTTATTTTTGAAAGCACACATAATAGGCTTACTTGTTTCTAATGAAGATTGGCATGCACAGCAGGCTACGTGTTCGGTAACCAGTCTGTTGATCTACTTTCCTATTGAAAGATATATATATATATATGTATATCACTAACGTGAATTGTAGATTACATATTAGCATTTGGTATAGTAAGATGACAACTTTAATTTACTTATATTTATTTTCAAAACATAACCTCTAAATATGATAGGGGAATATAATAGTGAACACTACACTTTACAAAACAGCTAAAACACAGTCGCAGTTTGTTGCATTACAACTACAAAGTCAACCATTTTCATAAAATCATTTCAAACACCGTGTCAGTTTATTGTTATGCACATCAGGCTCTTGATCGTCGAACCTATAGTATGAGATGCAAAAGACTGATTGTTTAGCATATATTGTAACGAATTTGTTGTTATATATTTATTTTAGTATCAACGTTTGTTTAGATATGTATTGCGAAACTCCCGCCTATTCTCCAAAGTTGCAGAAGATTCTCGAGAGCAAAAATCAACAATATATCTATATACTTAAACGTTTAAATATAGCTCAGTATTTTTATATAATCTGAATTTTTTTAGAAACCTTCCCACGCCTATAAATACAACCAACGCGCCGCGCCAAAGAGAGTGTCTATTAGTAGTTCGCTATAATCAGTGTGCTATAAACTTCGAAAGCTATAACTGTGGTTGTTATAACGCTTATCAATCGGAAAACTTCAGATATTTGACCAGAAATCTTTACATTACAATTTTCTAGCATTACAATTCATTTAACTTCAGTGGATTCTCATCGGACATTAGTATTTTTACGAAAACATTACCTAACTTCAACGGTGGAAAATTCTGCGTGTGTGTGTGTGGCAAAGGACAAAGCTAGCTAGCTTCCCGGCGAATCGTACCTACATCAACTCATAATTAACTCGCTCATCGTGAACCCTCGATAAGATATCGAAGAAGTTCCAGACTAAAAGTAAAAGGAAGACTTTATATTGTTTGTAAGTTTGTGAAACTTTTGTTTATAAATCATTGTTTGTAATAACTGTTATTGTAAATTGTATTGTTGTGTGTATATTAAAACGTATTTGTGTTAAAAACTGTGTGTATCAATCTTGTTGGCAAATATCGTAAACTGACTATATATCGTCAGTTATTTAAATACAAATCCAAAGCATAATTGAACTACTAAATTTAAATTATCAGTTAATTCAATTTCAGACCATTTAAAATTGTAATACATAATATATATATATATATATACACACACACACACATATATATATATACACACACACATATATATATATACACACACACACACATATATATATATATATACACACACACATATATATATATACACACGCACACACATATATATATATATATACACACGCACACACACATATATATATATGCATGTATATTGGTCTTGCACAATATTTTCAAATTTAATACGTTGAGGTGAATCATAGACATTGAACTATGCCAGCCTAAAATCAAAGAGGCCAACATTCGCGGGCAAATGCAACATGGCCAACTTTGACAGCAGAACAATCGTGAAAAACAAAGAACAGTTGAAAACTGTGTATATCATTGCTTGGAATTTGCAAGGAGGTATCTTTGTACAAGACCTCTTGTAAGTTGGTTGTCATAAAAATGAATAGTTCACGAAAACCCCAAATTTTGCTTTCCTTGCTGAAAAATTAAGCAAGAGACAAAAGTTCCAAAATTATCCATATCTCTATTTGGGATCTACAAGGAGTAACTTTGTAAATCCCACTAAAATTGGTCAAAATCCAAGAAATAGACCAAAAATCCTACAATTATGCTTCTTTTTATCCCTGATTCTGTAAAAAAAGGACGCAAAATGGGCAAATCCAATTTTTTATGTCAGTGTGTTGAACACACAAAATTTTTTATTTGTGCCAATTTCTAGCTTGATTGCTGTAAATATGACCAAACAGGGGCCCCCCAAAAATAACTTTTTGTGTTGTTTGGCTTTTGACCTCATAAAATCGTTAAAAAGGCCTAACTAAAACAAAAATGTTTTCTGGGCGTATTGAATCAATGTATAACCCTATCAAGTTTCAAGTCAATCCGCTGAGAAATGAAGTAATAACAGTCGATTGAAAAATGTTTGGAAGAAGAAGATAGAAGAAGAGATAATAGAAAAACATTATGTCTCTCTGCGGAGACATTAAAAAAAAAGACTTTTCAATTTTTCTCTGATATGATGAATTGTTTGGACACTTGAAGTCGATTTATCATAACAGGCTGTTGCAAATTAGCTACAAGATTATCAGTGCATCGCTAGCAGAATGTGAAGCCACTTCTAAATCAATGGTACATTTATTCTGACCCCTGGACGAACAAACCATCATCCACAGCACAAACAGATGATTATTATCTATTAATTCTTGCTTACTTCAATCGTAGGTTACCAACTTCGAGGCTGACTTAGATGCTCGTAGCCGAAACTAGAGCCATCTCAGTAGATAGACGTTTAGAAACAGACTTCAAAAGGATTGTTTCTATGCCAGACGCCAAATAAGCTGCATTTAGCTCAAAGCAAAGCACTCCAGGACCTTAATAGCACTCTGATTATCGGTATGCAGCATCACTGCCAGTTTGCTCTTGCTATTCATGATGATCATGCTCGAAATTGAAGTGAAATATCCTGAATTTTAAAGACGTAAAACAACATCTGTTACATGTTCACTTACAATCGTAGGCTAAATAATCAATTACATGATTGATCATCAGAAGCCTGATACGCATAAAAATAAATTGAAAGGGTACTTAGCATTATCTTATAAAACTGTTTTGACTAGTCATAGCTTTACACTACAAATCCCGATTGTGTTTAGTTTGGTCCAGTGTAGTGTATATTTAGTAGAAATAATGCCTTTTAGTAAATTCTGCTCAGGAATTTCGCATTCATCGCACATTTAGCTTGATAATTCTGTCTGCGAAATACAATTCTTTTCTGATTAATCAGTTACAAGCTTACTTTGTAGTTTACAGCTGCTTTACTTCATCAACCACCTTCTGGGGAATTTGTTTAGAGTTGCATAGAAGTGCTATGAAATCACATACCACAACTGGCGGCTTAAATATAACATCTGATGGGTATATTCTGTCTGAAGTATGTTTTCTTAGAGTCTTGATAAATATCAATACATTATATTTAACTGTAAAATATCTTAAAATTTGGAGATGTCTTAATTTGCTACAACTGTAATTATATAAAATGTTAAAATACTTATCTGATCCACTGTGTTGTGATATTAAGTTTAAGTTTTAGTATTACGTTAACAGACAGCTCGGTCAATTCATTCGAAAATGTCGATGACACAAATCTTGTTTAGTTTTAATTAAAGATGAAATTTAGTTAAAATTTTCCCATGAGTGGCAAAGCATTCTTATTTACACCAGAGTTTTCATTTCGTTTTAGCTTGTGTACATATTAAAGGAATAAAATATCACAATGCCTTAAATATAATTAATGAAAGGAATCTTGTCATAATGACTATAGAAGATTTAATATAAAACTATACATTGTTATCTTCTCCGCCAGATAGCAAATCGAATAGAATAAAGTAATCATTTGCTCATCTACTACAAAGGTACTGTTAAGCACAAGAACGATAGTTATTAAGAGCACGTTTAGAGCTTTTTCTTTTCTTACCTATTAAACCTGTCATCATCGTAAACATCTGGAATGTTTAAGGAATTTCCTGTCAGTGCTACGTGGCCAGCAATTCCCTTCCCTATTGGAAACCTAAACAGAAAAAAAGAATAACCTTACTTGTGAACCAATAATAAAAGTTACGTTTCTATGTCACGGATAATGAAATTGTATTCTTCGATGACATTTAATCAGAAAAATATTAAAAATATCTACTCGTTCTTATATTGCTGTTACTCACATTTCTCTTGTCCAGCATACAGTTTCAATCCTAGCATAGTGCTATTTAGAGCATAATATAGCTTACAGAGAAATACAAAAAAGATAAAATGAAATTATCATCAATCCTGACAAAGCGGTAAAAAACAATTCATAAACAGAATAAAATGTTCTGGCCATGTCGAGCCCTGTGAGCAATAAGAGTATCAGTCAGTTCCTAAAATGGGTGGTATGGAGCTGCTAACTGACTGTATTTCCTATGGTCTGTAGTTAAAAATTAGGAAAGGCGGCAGGTAGTCTTAGTAGCTTTGCCATAAATAGATAAAAACAATACAACTATAAATTAATTCACTAAGTGTCTCTTGTAGCAATATCAATTTCGAAACAAGCATGTTTCATTAAATCAATAATAAGAATTGACCAACACTTAACAACACTACAAACAACTATTTTATAACATTAGCATTCCCCTGGTAGTTTAGCGGAAAGCTTGAAAAACTACACTCCGGGTTCGATCCCTACAGTAGACATAGCACATACCACCCATTGTGCATATTTGCGCTTAACAACAAACAAACCAAATTTTACACCAACAAAATTCAATCCAAATGTTGGCTCTTAGCTGAAGTTCGCAGTTAACTTTTTAGACAATGATAACTATTATACTATAAAATGTATGATATTTTGAAATTTATTGATTACACGCAATAAAGATAACTGAATTACTTAGTTATAATAGTTAGCATATGTTAAATTAGTATTTGCATTTCCAACCAAGATGAAACTTTATGCAACATAATACAGTGTTTTAAAAAGGTCAGATCAGAGACTCCAAAGTTCAAACATAGCCTTCTCTAACTTAAAGCTTCTGACCAGTCAGAATAACAGGACTGACTATCTCAACTATAACACCTCCATACATGGAAGTGCGAATCTTGCTATGCAGTATATCGTGACTCGATCTTTTGAGCCACAACTTGGTATACTAGCCACTAGGCTTCGATCGGCCGAGTGCATTAAAACATGTTAGGAAACAGATTAGTAGTTAATACCAGCACAAAATATTTACCTATTTTTTCTAAAATACACACTTCTTTCGGTAGCTATTTCGGTATCAATTCTTTATAACACCCGCAATAGTTCAGCAATCCAAATAGCCGTTTGCTTAACAAGACATTTACAACAGTTAATTAAATTTTGTAGTTCACAGTACTCATTTGTTTAACCAGCCTTTATGGAAACCGCTAACGTTTAGTAATTTAAAACTAAATCTACTTCCGCAAGGTACCCGAACGTGTTCTGTTTCAAAATTAAGAGTAACAAACATTTTTAATTCTTGTTTTTCAAGTTCATATGTAAATCTGTGTTGTAGCCTATAGAGCGCATAATTATTATCGTGATTCATAGCATGTGCACGTTTTACTGACGCCACGTTGCAACGTTAAGTGTTTCTTACATGATATCATTTTAGTCTACTGACTGAATGACTGACTGACAACACACTATTGTATAGTGGTGTGAGTGGTTAAAAAAGATTACCTCTTCAGGCGACCCTCGGCCCTCTTTCAACTACTGTGCATGTTGCAATTGTAGAATAGTACGGAACTCGTAACAACACTACAGCAATTGCAGTTCCCCCCCCCCCCCCCAATATGAAACTTTGTAGAATGGACAGCAACTGCCTGTTATAGACACATAACTGTAAAGGATGACGTTTCGAAGGTCTTCAGCCTTTCGTCTTCAGTATCAAATAATACATACTTGAACTATCTGACTTCCTAAGTATAAAAAGCAGAGATTTTTATTACTAAAGAAACTAAACGGCGAAGATGGTTTGTCGCTCTTCATCATCAACCGTAACTAAACTATTTTAAAGATTATCAGGTTTGTCTAACCATTAACCTTATAGGTTACGATAAGAGGATAAGCATTACAAAGTTCGGTTGATCACACAAAGGGAGTTTGTAGTTAAGCACAAAGCAACACAATGTGCTATCTGTGCTCTGCCCACCACGGGTATCGAAACCCGGTTTCTAGTGTTGTAAGTGCGAAGACATACCGATGTGCCACTGGGGGGGGGGGCACACATAAAGAAAGAGACGTTGTTTTTTTTTATACCGAAAACACCACAAACGCTATGTTTTGAAAACTAATGGTATACACACAATTCCCCTTTCCAAATAAACTCTATCAACAAAAAAACAATAGTAACAGCTATTATTTTTTGAATGATATGTATCTGTAGCATGATGTAGAACATTTACTTATCGACTTGTGTAACAATAATACCATGAAGTTTCAAATCATTGGTTACTTTCTCCGCCCACCAAATCTACTGTAAGAAATCTTATTATTCCGTGAATGCTAATCCATAAATTAATCAATTCAACAAAATGGACCAACTGAATGCTACATTCCGGATTTAAACTTTCAGATTAGTGTCCTTAACTTTTAGTTTTTTTATGGATATGAAGAATATAAAATTTCCAGATAATAGATCTTTCGAATATGATCATGAAATATGTTAATAGATTAGGAGGCAATTTTATAATCATGTCTTTTCTTGCCGTATTTCGTTCGAAGCTTCTAAAATGGTCTTGGCAGATTCATCCTCTTGGTCTCCGCTGACGTCAAATATTCGAGCATACAATTCTTTAGAGCGTCTGTCTACCAGAAAAAGGGAAGCCCGGTCGGCGTTTACAAGTTTCTGTGCGAATGTCTGTAAAACAATATATATAAAATATTTCAATAACCAACAAGGCCAACAGGTTTAAAATCAGCAAGAAAGTATATAGAAAGTGAAAATATTGCTTAGAATAAGTGTTTTAGTATAAATACTTCTGTTCTATTTAAAGATGACACACACATGTAGAGTAAGGCAAAAATTGCCTATTATCCGTGATAACAAATTAAATATTATGGTTTAGGCTTATATCAATTCTAGTTTATATAAAACCCCAGGAAAATCTTGATATTCTTTTTCATATTTCTAGATTTAAGGTACGTTTTAATTTGATTTCATATTTGACAAATCAAACATTTCTGCTCTCATAACACAGGCCTGTGAATTATAACATTTAAACTTATTAGTTCAACAAAGCATCAGTTACATTTTTCACACAACACAAATGAATACAGTTTGTAACCGAAAACGTTTGTGTACAGTCCTTGTATTTCGCAGAGCTCAGTAATATATATAAATGCTGTATCAATTTTGCTATATGAAGTTGACAATTGTAATGTGTCCTACCATTTAAGATTAAACAAAAATTTGTAAATAGTTGATGTTATCAATGAAAAATTTCTTGCCAAAATCTCCCAATTTTGTTGTTATTACTATTTATCACAATAAGTTATGGTCTACAAAAAAAAAACATATATTCTTTCACATTTCATAAATCCAACACATTTGCTGTACAATGTTTATTATTATAGAATATAGTTTACAATTAAAAAATAAATTGTATGTTCACTATACTTTAAGTCTCATTTAAATAACGAAAAACTACTTTATCTATTATTTCACTTGATATTATGATACAAAACAATAAATGTACATTCATGACATTTTCTTCCTCAAGATTTGATGGTCCTAAAAAGGACCTTTAATTACAAATCAAGTTATTATGTAAAATCATTATATTCGGATGAGGAATATCCGTCGTGTTCATCTTCCAGACGGATCTTCATTTACAAAACATGATGCTGATTTCTCTGTACACCCATCGTATGCGTTTAGTATTTATGACAGATTGCCAATGTGTTTATGACCTTCACTCTCTTTACTATTTGTATGATGACTAATGGTTTAATAGACATACTAACCAAGGAAGAAAGGATCCTTGAACCGAACTTCATAAAATTTAAGTTCAAGAAAAACGTATACCAATATATTCAATATATCCTGTAGCGTGTATGTTAGTGGCTAATCTTAGCCTTTTATGCTAAATTTGACAGAGACAGAATATAGTACAAGCATCATCACGAACAAAGTTGTCAAAGATTATATAAGGAAGAATTTATTTTTTAATGTAAGAGTTTGTCTATGATCGATTAAATTCTACTTGTTACTTTTATTATGTATGATTTCTACGTACACCTTAAACCTACATCAACTTTACAAACACATGAAATATGTACGAGATTTACGATTTCCTTTTAGAATACAACTAATAATATTCGTATACAGAGTTAGTTCTTTCCAGATGGTACTGATAACATCGGTCACAAGTTCAGACATATCCTAATTTATAATATCAGTCTCCAACAAACTGTCTCAAGTTCAGTCAAACCTAGGTCACTTTTCAAATATATATATATATACCCTGTCCATTTCATCGCTAATATCATAGGCCTGTAAATTTAAACTCCATAAAAGTTGTTTTGGTTTTAATAACAGATTTTCCATAATTCAGCTACCCAGATTTCGAAAATAATATTCAATATTCATTTTTTTATCACGTAAAGATTTTTAACAAAATGTCATAACGCAATACATAAAAGAAAGACCACAACATGTAGTTTTGAGACTAAAAGACATAGATTTCACACAAGCACACTCACAAAATCAGGATGAATGAGGATACATATTCGTCTGACATCAATCTTCTTCCTTTTTCTTCAGTTAATTTATATTTTTGTTAACGAACATAATAATAAAAAAATGTTCATTGTGGTAAACGAAATAATAATTTTATCTAAGTAAGATTTTTTTTCCTTCCCGATTTGTT